GCATACATAGCGATCCCACTATCGGCGGATAACGATATCGACAGTGAAAACTAACAGACACTGGAACATCTCCTCACTTAGATAAAAAAGCAAGGGTTAGATGATGAGGCCATAAGGTATCAACTGGACACAATTCGACTGATTTCAACCACAAGCCAGGGCTCTAGAATTCTAAAGCTCTGTAGGAGGAATATCTTCGATTCAGGTGTCGACTACGACCCACGCTGACAACAGCGACACCTGGCTGAGAGTATCACTGGATGAAAGCATGTAGCAGAAAAGCAGCAGTCCTCTGACTGAAGTCACTACAGGCTAAGGCTTTGGCACTGTTACATGTCTGTGCGCCCAGTTCAGAGGGATAATGAGTCCCTGTTGGAGGAAGTAGAAGATACTCTGTAAAAAGTGCCGATTACGGAATCCGTCATTCTGATGGGCGATTTCAATATGCATATCGAAGCAGACACTGAAAAGTGTAAAGATGTACCTGGAAAGAACGGCAGTAGCAATCTCAATAATAGTGAGAAATCGTTGCGCACTCGTGCAAACAACGGACTGTCTACCAAAGAAGACACTCTCTGAGCAAAAAATGTGCAGAAGCAAACTTGGAATAGAGAAGCCTGTGCATAGAAGTCGATGAACAATTTGATAATCGTCTGACCTACGACACTATGAATGGACGTTCGCACTAAGAGAAACGCAGAGCTGTTAACCCATTGCCACCATGTTGCTGCCACAACCGCTGCAAACTTTGGAGTACACTGGTAATACCTGGCGCGAGAAGAAACAAGAGAATCAATTGGGAAACAACATCCTAGCGGATACGAGGGCGAAACTAGCAAACAAAATCTCACGATGGCTTGAAAAGATTTCAGCGATGACGGCTGACGTAAAAACCAGGTGGAAGCTCTTTAAAAGTGGCTATTCAAGACTGCTACCGACTGTGGTTTAAAACCTGTCAGACTGCTGCCTGATACTGAGAAACGAACCTCCTGGTATGCACCGTTCAACTGTCAGTCAGAGAGAAGAAAGCTGAATTCAAGATGTGGCTAGGAAGTAAAGAGTCAACAGCTCTAATGCGATACGAAAAAGCGCCAAAGGCAAATGCGTAAGCAGTGGTCAAGTCGGTGAGGTACTGGAGTCAAATTTTCAGCAGGAAAACACGGTAACTGAGAGACCACCCGCCTCCTCCGAAACAGAAAGAAAGGCAAACTACGAGTCTTAGCGGGCAATTCCGGATACCTTCTTACCAAGGAAGAAAATACATTTCAGCAACGGAAAGATTCAAGGAACTCCACATCCTTGAGCAATCCCAAGGAAACTCGTCTAAAGTGCAAGAGGTCCAGATATTAATCCTTTAGTAGATGAAGTCGCAGAAGCTGCAAACAGCCTAAAAACTGACCGTAATCGAAGAAATTCGCCTGACATGCTGAAAGGCGAACAAGGCGTGTTGTGGCTAAAACGCGTCTGTACAAACAGGAGTGATTGAGGACAAGACATACGTGGACTAAAGAGCTCGGGCGTAGCAGCCCATTTCAAGAAGGGAGTCACAAAAAGTTATCTGACAATCAGGCATTGTCTTACGGGACCTCCGGAGAACCCTACCTAAAGGTGCTAGAAAGGAGGCGCGTGGAAACAGCGACTGCAACGCAGAAGAACAGCGCTGTGGCTTTCGTTCAGGCTCGAGTGCCTCGGATGACATCCCCTTACGCCAGACTGTTGAGGAAACGTGGAATTTCGCTCATCCGGTTTACATGTGCCCTGTGAACATTGAGAATGCCTATCGATGGATCCCGCGCAACAAGATATGGGCGTGCCGAAAAACATGTAGGATCGATGGTCAGTTATTAGAAGACACAGTCCCTAAACGTGGATAGCAGGTGCTATTTCAGAGTGAATGGCCTTAAGTTGGAACATTTCACCGGTCTCCAGTAAGGCTGCGTTCTGTCCCTTCTCTGTTTGTGTTGTACATGGATAGAACAGTCAGGAGCAGTAAAGGCGATAAGCGTGTCGGTGTAAGAGATGTGAAGACGAGAAGGCTGCTCGCAAACGACCTTGTTTT